ACCCCTTGGAATTTTATTTTTCAATCTCTCCATCATATCAATTTCGAACCTCGAGAAACGTTGTGATGGAATCTTGCGCGTATTGTATTCCAAGTGTGGATTGTAGTGTATTCGAAGATTCCTATCACCCCTTGTCTAATAATGGATACATGCTCGCCAGTTTTGGCACATTGAATGTGGGATCTCTCTCTGAGGCGGACGAAGAATACATGGCTTTGGGTATATGCATAGAGGTTTATATATATTGGCGTGATTTAAACTTGCTGTGTATACATTTGTAATTTATCTTTCAGAATGACAATGGAAGTGCGGGGAATAAGCGAAAGCTATGAGACAAAGGTAAAAGACTCTGAATTGATGTCCATTCTTGCTGACATAAGTATGAGATGATAATAAGTGGTGCGTATCTAACAATTTCTTTGTGGAATGATTTATGTTAAACCCTTATATTAATCTTCTGCTATTGCTCACTGCCTCCACTTTTGTGGTTTTATTGACTAATGATAGAGGCTTGATGAACACAATTACTAGAATTTTAGAAACATGATTTTCAAAATTGCTATTATTCTCAACCATTGACTTCYATTCTTCCTCTACCTTCAGCTGGTCCTATGAATTCTGGTAGCAAAAGCATGATGGAAGCTTTCAAAGGTTTTCACTCAAGGACTACCCTGAATATGTATCTACAACCTGGTAAAATCAAGCCACCATTGCCATTACTAAAGGTGGATTCTTGTTTAAATGGTATTAAATTTTTCAATAATCCCTAAGTTTGGGATTTTGATTGTTAGATGACAATAAGGGAGTGGCTCATGATGTCTAGAGCCCATCATTGATACACTAAGATTGCAATGAACTTGTGTTTGCAAAATATGTTTTATATATTCAGGACGCCTTTGCTTCAGAGAGAGGAATAGCTTAGATGCTCAACCTTTCATTTCCAGATGGTAAAACCGCCATTTGATGTGTGATAAAGCTACAACTATGCCATTTTATCATCTTAAGGTCTCAAGGGCAGAAGCTTAGGACACAATCAATCTCTGGTACAATGACAAACACCAAGTAAGGGAATGCCAAGAATTGCGTAAGAAAGAAAGATGGTTATGTAGGAAGGGCGCGTAAATATTACCAAAAAATTTGTGTATTTTGAAAACTAACACATGTTTCTAAAAGTTTGAAAACAAACTTTATTGGCAATTATTTATTTTTTTAAAAAATTTTATTGGCAGTTAAGATTATCAAATATTATAATTAAATCAAATATATAAAGTGTTTTTAAAAATCAAGTTGTGATATCATTGGGTAATTACAAAATATGTAATTCTAAATTAAAACCATATTGTTTCGAAATTTCGAACTGGGCTAGAGCCCAAACGTAGGCCCATTCGATAGAAGAAGACGAAAGTGTCTGCTATCAGAAAATCACAAATCAGAAACGAACCCTAATTTCTTTTGCGAAAATGATGTCGAAAAACCTCAGATCCGTCGTTGCGCAGGTTGCTCGCGGAAGGAAATCGGTTTCATCCCGCCGCAGTTTCTCTACGAACTCTAATCCGACCACTGGTAACATTCTCGGATTCCGCGTGATTTCTATATTTCGATGTATTCGTATACGGAGGAAGAAAAACAAAAATCTTTCGTCTTTGTGTGATTTTAGAGTCGAAGGAAGCAAGAGGTGATGCTAAGGGGATCATAGCTCGTTGTCTTTTATTCGGTGTAGGGTTTTGGTATGCAGGTATG